CTACTGTGCTTGTTAGGCTCGGCTTTGAACGCCATGCCTCTCCCAGTTTCACATCTGAACGACGAAAGGGCGCTTTCGCGGTTTGCAACAGTTAACAGGAAGAAATGCAACCTGTTGAGTGACGCAAATGAGAGAATGCGTGTGCACCTCTTTTTGAAAAAAAAAATGTTGTGGGAAACGAGCGAGTTTAGAATAATAACTTGTGGCGCCTATCGACAGATGGCGCCACAAGTTACAAACACCGTTAACTCGGTCGCCTCCATACACGTCCGCCGTCAGCCTTGACAAGTTTGCTGGTTTCATTTTTCACAGGAAGGGAGCTACACCTTGCATTTTCACCAAATAAAATTTATCCCCCAAGTACATATTCTGCGAAAGTTTGGTCTTTCCATACGCAGGCGATAATTTTCCCCGGCTCGTTTCACAACGCTGGCATGCGTTGTGGACACTTTACACAAATGGCGGAATGGCGTCGTTCGCCGGTTCAACCACTGACACCGACTTACTGCGACATCGTCTAAGATATTTCGTTGAAGCTCACTCTCGGCACGCTTTAAAACTCTTTGTCCAGCGCGTGTGCATCCAAACGCCGCAGTTATTCAGTCTGTGACGTCACAAAATGCACGACAGAGAAAGACGAAACGTTCGACTGGACCTAGACTCGGCGTTTGCGAAGTAAAGGCAGCAGCCAGCGGAAGCACCTGCCCCAACTAGACATTTTAACAGCGGCTGCTCTTTTCTTACTAATCGAGCTGTTTTGGGTTTTATTATTAACACTAAATAACCATTCACGCAGGCGTGTTTCCTTACGTTTTGTTACATTACGCAATGAATCTCCGTGACATTCTATCCCTACGAATGTCGCGTGTAGAGTCGCTACTTAAAGGAGCGATGCAACAACTTTTGTACTTTGCGCAAATACCGCTTAAAACGGATCCCTAACGTTAATGACCTATGAAACACACGTTCGTTCTTCACCCCACGCGATAGAAGTCCCAGACAAAAATTAAAGAAAAACGAGCAGGTTCACCCCCTCAACTCGCAGCCAGAACAAGCGGCCACGTGATCTGGAGCCGATTATATGCCGCCAGTGTTGATCATAGCCACGCGCTGGGGTTGGCAAAGCGCAGGACACGCGCTGAGTTCCAGACATTGTTATGGCTCGGCTGTTGTCGTCGTTGCAGCGATTGGACACGGGCCACTACCCGAATGATTCTCGAGCTAGCAATTATCACGAGCCCAAGTCGAGTGCCCACGCAATGCTCGGGTCCAATCTATGAACCGCATTCAAATATCGTCACTTGGGTGTACTGCGATCCCCACGTTACGTCATCAAATTTTTCAAAGAAGAGATTGAACGAAAATAATCGCTTTTGTCCTTGAAATTACACCGCAACAAAGGAGTTTCCGGCCAGTGGCGTTGCGTGTGAGTATCCTTGAGTCCCAGGTGTGCCAGTAAGCTCGTGCAGAGTGAAAAACATTCCAATTGAATATCGTTGCACCGCTCCTTTAAACTGGTTGCCATACTTCATACGAAGTACAGATGGCCTGGTGATTCTTGTCGTTAGCAGGCGTAAGTTTCCGTAACGTAACCTAACGGAAGTAAACGGAGCTGTGTGAATCTGAACCAGATTTCAGTTTCAACGTTTTCCGACACCGAAATGAGAAATTAAATTCTTTGACGACAATATACACTCCGTGCGACGCGACTGGCGCGCCGCCGCGCGGCCGGTACCGAAGGTAGGCAGTGAGAACCCCAGAGAAAACGAAACCGAAACCACGCCACGTACGTTGGCACGCATTGAAGTCGGAGTGGTGCGGTTGCGCTGGGTTCACAGCAGGAAGTACTGCCTGTGCTGCGTCATTAAGTGCTTCAAAAGTTATGCGTCGTATCTCGTGGAGACAAAGTTTCACAGTTTTTCACCTCGCCGATGTTTTGTGGGACAGCGACAACGATGGAGCCGTGCCGTACGACGCGAGAAATTTGGTCTCCCGATCATGTCTGCCACTGAGTCGGCACGGCTGACATATTCTACACTGCCGCTTTGCGCTCTGCGTTTGTTTTCGTACCAGTAACGCCTACATTTGTCAGCGTCGATGGGACGAACTGAAATGCCATCCCACACTCGCGGGTATGCAGTGCCAATTTCGTTGGAGGAATGCCTTCCGAAGAAGTTTCGTCCCCATCGTACGTGTCGATGATATTTCCGGACAAGTATGGCACGCAATCTGTACTTCATGAAGAAAGATTCGAACGGTAAAAAAAGTGACAAATATAAATCTAAAAAAAAAAACAATGAAACTCGGAATCACTGAAGAATCGACGTTTAAGTATGGAAGTTTACGTGGTGGCTATCTTTTGGATGTGGAAACGCTGACACCCCGAGTTCTGTAGACAACATTTTTTTTTTTCGCGGCTTTAGAGCCACCTATTGCAAAGTGGTTCGAACTGGAAGTACCGCCCACTGGTCCCTTCCTACCTGTAAAGTCTGCACCTCCCACGATGAGTGGTATTATCTGACAGCCTTTGACGGTCAAAGCCAGTTCCCATTTAGTTACGCCGCCCAAACTAAATTTCCACCTGGTTTCGCTATGCCAACTCTTTTTGTTATAATAAGTGTTGTGCCAAGTGACGGTCATGTCAAAGTACCTGTGCGCCGAAAATCAGCACCTCGCACAACAGGTTATTACACAACAGCTGACCGCAAAAGCCCTTGGCGGCCAAACCATGTTCTGGCCGACAACTTTGTTTTCACGGCTTTGGAACCACCTTTTGTAAAGTTGTTTCAATCGGAAGTACAGTCCACTAGTCCCTTCCTACCTCTAAAGTCTCCACCTCCCCCGACCAGTGGTATTGTCTTGACAGCCTTTTCATGGTCAAAACCGGTTCCCATTGAGTTACGCCGCCCAAACCAAATTTTCACTTGGTTTCCCTATGGCACCTTTTGTTTTTTGTATAATAAGTGCTGTGTCATGTTACTGTCAAGTCCAAGCATCTGTGTGCCCAAATCTGCACTTTGCACAGCCCGGTTATAACACAACGTTTTGGGTCCAATATTGGCTTTATGTCTTTATTCGTTAGAAACCTAACTTTCACACCTGCTGTCTTCAAGAAACTTGGCACTCTTCGTGCACAAACTTAGTGAACAACTCACTCGCCTCCAAATATCATCGTTCCAGCAGTCCTAGGTTTACAGCGACGAGCGAAATAAATTTCCCACTCACAGCAATTAAGGTGGCGGCCGTCTTGTTTTTCGGAAAATTGCTCCAACTTCTTTTTCGGCCCCAACTAGAGAAATTACCCCTAATAACGACTCAAACTCAATATATAAGAAGTGGAGAACAGCTAAATTCCCTTCTGCCTCTCCCCTCATGCAACGTCACCCTCAACTTATCGGCTCAAAAAGCAAAAGTTCCGTCCGTGCGCGCTTCCGCCGCCACAGCTTGGCATGCGAAAAGGCGCCGCAGGCTGCTGAACGCGCCTCACAGTCGAACGCCAGCTCCTCCGCTAGCGGCGCTGCGCGCGTTTTTCAAAGCGCCCCCTATAGTTCCTGCACGGAGTGTATACAGCCCATCTCGGTTTGCCTGTAAAGCGTGCTCTGCCTTTCACACAGATGATTGTGGCAAAGCCTACCCCAAGAAACACGGGAGAAACGCAGCGTCACGAAAACCGAAGCAAAATCTATTTCCTCCCATCTAATAGGAACACAAACGGCCCACGCGAGGCTACCATCCTTCCAAGGGAGTAAAGTCACAGTCTTCAGGGGTCAAAAATTGTAAACCGGTAATCAAAACTCCTTCCGGGAACTTGAAGACGCGGAGTGCGTTCCTGAGAAAGTCGACGTGGCTGTGCTTGACCGGGCCCGCCGCTCACGCTGTATTCAAAACTACGCGCGGTATTGCGTGCACGCACAAACCCATGCTCATCCTGCTGACAAAAGTTCGATTGCTGTTCCGAAAGCCACCTCAAAGACGCTGCTCGGGTCATTCGTTTGGGAGACGAAAATAGGTTGACGGTCACTCTTATCGTCTTGTCTGGAGCAGAAATAGTATGAAAAGCACGTTTTCAAGAAGTGCATCTTAAAGCAAACATGAAACTATTTTTGGGCTCAAATAAATTATTTTTGATTGCGATTTTACTAAGTGCATGTTGTTTAGCGTGCCAGAAGAAAAACATTCTCGCACATTGTCCCGCAGTTGTGTTGCTACGTGAAACGTTATTGGTTAAGCGCTAGTGGTGCTAAACCACTAATACTAAACCAAGTGCTTAGTGGTGTTAGTGGCAAGTTAGTGTTATTTAGATTTAATTAGAGTTAGTTAGAGTTAAAGTTATATTTAGTGGAGTTAGTGGTACTAACTCCACTAACTCGCGTTAACGTTTTTTGCTACTTCACTTAATCTTAAAACGTAACCTAAAAACGTTTCGCATTAAAAGAAAACAGGTACACGAAAGTATAAAGCGAAAAGCCTGCTTTTTGGTACAAAAACTTTGAAGATATAGTGGACTATTTGTTACCTCCTTTCCTTCGAAAGCTCTCTGCCTTTTCACAGTGATGCATCTGCGGTGCCCAAGGGCGTTACCCGAATCCAGCTCACGCATTGGACACGAGCACTGCGTCACTCGGACGTATGCATTCGTTAACAATCAATCCGAAGACAAATATTTGAATTCGCGTTCTGGGCCAATGAGTGCCGTGATGGTACTTACCACCACTTGCGAAAGGCAAGTTCCGCGGTGTACTTACAAAGGCACTGTGGAAGCTTGGTGTAATTGCATCCGGTGAAATACCATACGTCCCGACCACGAGGTTTCTCATTTTGGTTTTGAGTTGAGGAGAAAAGCTAAGGAGAAAGAAGTGGAAACATAATTTTATAATGCCTTTAATTTCACGTTAACAAAAAAAAAGTAACTCATTTCCAACAAAAAAAAAATCTGGTTCCGATAAAGCTTCGAAGTTTGAGAGTGTCAGGAAGGCGCGTGGTACGAATGCGCCCCCCAGAAAAAAAAAAAAGAAGAAACGGTCGTAGTGAATCAACGCTTCAGAACGATACCTAGTGAGTTCTTCAATTACCTTATTGTTTACGGACAACCATGTTTTTCCACGGGAGGTTTGTGTGCAGCGCTCATGCGCAAGAGCTCTTCTGTTTTGTTGTTTTTTTTTTATTTTTTTTTAGTATACTACATTTTGTTAGTTTGTTTGTTTTTTGGCTCAGGAGGATTTCCCAAAGAAATGTAATATCACGGACGATATGTGACGTCACGAACAAATCAAACGTCACAGACAGATGTAACATCCCAAATTGCGCATGCATATTGTTCCCGCTAAATTTAGCGGATAAGTTTGTTTCTGCGCAATATAACGAGGAAGTTGTTTTTCCCTAAGTTTAATGGAAACTTTCTTTTTTCCTGTTAAGTTTAGTGAGGAATCTTTGGTTCGCCCCCTGACGTGACTATCTAGCGTGACCTCGCGTTCTCACCTGACACCGCGGCACCTATGAACATAACTCAAGTTCACAGGGGCTAAGCGGGACCCTGGGCATCTGTTCCTCCAGTTCCACTAGAGCGACAAACAGAAACAAGCGACACCGACCAGCTTTACATGTTCGCAGCATGCACGCGAAGGAAGCTTCGGCAGGCTTGCAGTCACTGGTGCTTACTTCAGAAGTACCGAGAGGCTACAACCCTGCCAAAGGCGCCATCGCGTGCATACTTGCACGCGCTTGAGGTTTGTCGCGGTGTCGGTCGTTTCTGTTCGTCGCTCTAGTGGGACTCGGGCACAAGAGTCAACCGTATGCGCATGCCATTCCGCGCAGCTGCCGGCCTCCTTCTCGTGAAGTCGGAGCCGACATCCCCTCCCTCCTTCTTCCCCAGGACCATCTTCACGAGCTTCCAGCTGGAAGAGCTGGAGAAGGCGTTCAAGGAGGCCCACTACCCGGACGTGTACGCGCGGGAGATGCTTTCGCTGAAGACGGACCTCCCCGAGGACCGCATTCAGGTCCGCTCTCTGACTCACGCCGCTCCCCGCGCTAACCGACCGACGCGCTAATCCGATTGCCCGTCACTCGATTAGCGCCCCAAAACGTCGCATCAAATTAAGTTTGCGCCGCCCACGCGACGAGCGAGCGGCGCTGCCGTCGACGCAGACGACGACGGCCGCCGCCGGCACGAGGCGCCGACGGAAGGGCGGCGTCGGCTGCCGAGAGAGGGCGCCCCTTCGAAGAGGGCCGATTAGGGTGCCTGGATTTCAGAGTGTTTTCAAACCGCTCGATCAGGGGTCACGTTATTTGCGGGCAAACGCGGCCCATGAGTCCCGTGACTACATACCAGCAGTTGCAAACACTCTCAAATCTAGGCACACTAGGGCCGACCTTAGTTTTGCCGGTCAACAAAGCGACCAAATGAGTCTTTTTTTCTTCTAATTACGTCCTATCGTTAATTACCTTTTTTGCCCTCTTCGATTTGCTGCAATATCACTAAATTACGCTATACAAATTAGCGCTAGCTAGGAGTCCAATTGATGGAGTAGATATTTGGAAAGAGGAGAGGAGAGTACGCGATCCCTGCCTCGAAATCTGGTCAGTTGTGTATTCGAAAGGGCGATGTGGCCAGTAAAGTGCAACCGCTAATGCTGGGATCTTTCACGTATACCGCTCGACACTGTTAAGGGGGCACCCGTGTGCTTTTTGTAGAAGTTTGTTTTTGATAGCCATATTACTTCTTCGGTAAATAAAAATGGCCAGTTCTAGAAGGCGAGGCATCCTAATAAACTCACAGCAATAAAAATACACGACAATAGTTTCTCTTGAAGGGGGAGGGGGGGTTCTTTGGGTTTGTATTACCTCCATAAGATTTGACCAATTAAATGTGTTAATTGTGTGGAGATTCCGGATTTAAGGCGCGTTGAGCATTATATTTTGACAAAAAAGAAAGAAGGGTGTGTCATGATCTCTGATCGGACTTTTAATAGGGAAATCAGCCACCCACAAATGTTACTTCGTGTTTTTCCTTTTGTTTTAGGATGCTTACAGCTCGTAGCTTGAGATATCACCATAAATGAAGGACCCCAGAATAAACTTAAAGCCTCTTAAAAAAAAAAACACCGGCGATTTTTTGAGCTAGCCCAACTCACTACATTATCGGAATCACAGCTGTGTTTACCTTTTCGGGTATGCTGTATATTATCGCAGAATTCAAATTAATTATTCTGAAATCGGCAAGTGAAAATGATTCCAAAACCAACATTGAAATAACCCCCGCGCTTTTCAGTGCCGGGACGTCAGTGGCAGGCAGGCTTGCCAGTCGTGCAGGCTGTCTAAAAAATGGACTTCCCCGAGCATTTGTTTTTTGCTTCTGCGCGGGTGCTGAAGTAAGCTTCGAGAACATTCATTTGACAGCACAAAACTGCTTATATTCAGTTGGAAACAAAGCCTACAGTTCAAAGAATTATAGGCCTCCTGCGCTGAAGCTTTGAACAAACTGTAGCGCCCTCATTTGGGGTAGTACAAGCTCGCCTGATTGAGCCTCCCGCTACGTATGGCACGTTGGTTGAGCTTTTTTTAATTCTGTGTGGTGCTGAAGAACGAAAAAACACCTTTGCACGCCAGAAATCGGGCAAACTCAACGTTGCAAGAAAATCGAAAGTGCCAAATTCATGACACCATCGCTAGGGCACGCGTCTCTTATCTCTGGGTGGTGACGTCCGAACACCTGTGTCGCGACGCTTTCATTTTGTTTTTGTTTTTCTCTCTTTTTTATGTCTACTTTGGAAAGCGTGAAACGGCATATCTTGGCTCACGTTCTTAAGCGCAGACCGCATGGCGCGTTTTTGCTCGCGATTTAGGCGCGTCGGCGTCAAACTGACGTCATTTCCTGCCCGCGGGCGCGCGCGGGAGCGTTGGTTTCTAGCCGACCCAGAACAAGACGCGCGCGTCGAGGCGTCGAAGCGGCTCTCGCTTAATGAGGGTAGGTCGAACTATCACGTGATCCTGCACAGTACGCTGTTTCGTATTCAGCACATCTCAAAATGTTCAAAAGCATTTTTTATTTTCCATATCAAAATTGAAAAGGTGTTTCTTTTGACACACAAACTCGTTTTACTTACTTATTTGTTCATTTAATTATCATTTTGTAGTATTTGCGTCAATATTTACGACGCGTGCTGAGAATTCTGTTATCTGGCAACGCTGATAACGCGCGGCCGGCGGTGCTTGGCTTTGTCTGCATGCGGGTGCCCCCGCGTCAGCTTCCGCGCGAGCGTTCATTGCGCGTCGCGTTTTCGCGTGTAGAAAAATGCGCCATGCGGTCTGCGCTTTAGCCTCTTAACTTCGACGGCGTTCGATTTTTTTTTTTTGTTTTGTTTTTATTGTGATTTTGCGTTCCGCACTAGAACAGGCACGCTTCTGCATGCGTAACAGTTTGAGACGCTAAAATTTGTACTATTCAAAACAAGTCCTAAGAAGTCCCTTTTCGCAGCACCCCCTGAGAAACGCAGGAGGTCCATGCCTTCAGCTGACGTCACTTTTGCACTCTTGCCAGTAAAAACTTTTACTTTGAGAAAAAAAAAAAGAAAACACGGTGGGCATTAAACTTGTAAATTCATTAACTTAGGAAAACATACTTATCTTGGTCCAATATTCGGCGCAGCGTCAGCGCTGTTTCTAGCGCCAGCGACGGCTTGAGTTGTGGAGGGCGTGGCCTGATATGATCGCGCCTCGTTATTGGTCCTTTGGGGGTCTTAGCGGCAAATGCTGCAACCTCATTGGCTGGGGACCAATAGTGAAATGCAGGGGGACTCGCCACGACCTGCATTTCTTAAGTTGTCGGCGAGTCTGATGTTTATCTAGCATAGTCACGTGTGTGTTAAACGGTCTGAACACGATGTCGGGGGTGATTTACATTTACCGCTTAGGTTACTGCCTACAACAAGTACTTTCCGCCACGCTTAGTAAAAGATTTTTTTGAAGCAGTCGTCTAGTTTCTTTTTTTTTTTTTTTTGTTGTTTGTTTGTTTGTTGTTGTTGTTGTTGTTTTTTTTTTAAGAAAGAAAAACGAATTGAGAAAAATTGTGATCAGCTGTTCGCGTTATAACGGTGTCGGGCTGGTACATCTCGCCGTAGTGATTATACGAAGTTAATGTTAATGCATGCCCAATTGAAAAAAAAAAAGAGTAAGGAGATTATGCCTTAATGCTGCGGTGGCCGCGTTAGTCTCTTTCCATTCGTCCTCGCTTGACATGTGACCCCTCGTTTCATCCAACAAAGTCTTTGTTCGTTTAATTACTCAACTGAAAACTAGGCTGTTGTTAGACAAAATTAGAAACCTACCGACTGCCGCGGATATAATTTGTGAAGTAAATAACTTTTTGTTTTTAATGCCAGTCGGAGTGTAATTTTACTTCAGCCTCTCTAAATCCCGGCATTCGACTAATCTGAGCATTCGGCGGAGTCTGTAACGCTACTTTTTTTATTCTAAAATTGCTCATTCAAACCGAAATAAACGATTAAAGCTCACTTTAAATTACTCATCGGATCCGCACACGCCAGCGCCGCCATCGGGTCAACAGTAGCTTCGTTCGATTTACCCGCACTCCTTGCACCGGAGCAGACAACCGTAGGGCGGTTCACTTCCGGTCGTATCCCAATACACATACCGGAAGTTCACTTTTCTCTGCGCCGGTGCAGGAGGTGCGGGTAAATCGGCTCCCCGAAACTGTCCAAGTGTCCGGGTCCTGTCCCGCATATATTTCTTCGTACCCCGCCGCATCTCGCCGTTGTGGGCTGCGGTGGCGGCGCTGGCATCCCCCGAGCGCGGTATGGCGCTCGCTTCGGGTAACAGAGGGGGGCGAGATGTGAACGTGCCCGCGGCTGGAAACAGTATCCTCATTAGTCCCGGGGTCCGGCAGGCGTAACCCAATCTGCGGTTCTAACGAGCCGGCCCATTAGACTAATTGGGGGAGCTCCGGCCGTCGCCGCCGTCGCTCCTGCCCCCCGGTGCGCGCAGGTGTGGTTCCAGAACCGAAGGGCCAAGTGGCGCAAGACGGAGAAGTGCTGGGGCAAGTCCACCATCATGGCGGAGTACGGCCTGTACGGCGCTATGGTGCGGCACTCGCTGCCGCTGCCCGAGTCCATTCTGCGCGGAGCCAAGGGAGACGACGTGTCCTCCTGCGCCCCGTGGCTGCTCGGTAGGCACACCTGCATGCGCGCGAGCACGCCGAAAAAGGGGCACCCGTCGCCGTCCCCGTCCGAGACCGGCTGCTTCGGTTTCCGACACAGTAGATGTGGAGGGGGAAGATGCGGTGAATCGCGCGCTTCTTCCACTGGCCGACGGCGAACCCAACGTTGAAGGCGGCAGAAGCGCCTTCAACGGCAGAGGCCGGTTCATCCTTCGGAAAGCGGGTTTGAAATAAAGCGAAGCGGGCCAAACGAACAGAGAATATATGAGGGGTGGTATTCTCGTTTACGGCTGAGCAATACATATCGACAGAGAGAGAGATTGTAAATGCTCAATCGGTCCCTTTTTGTTGGCGCTTTCTTCTTTTCTATGCAGAGAGCAAGTCGTCTGCTTCTTGCTCAAGAGTGGCGGTGACGTCAGTACGACGCCGAGCTCTTATTGGCTGATTGAAAAAAAAAAAAAAGTGGGAAGACCTCCAGGCATTCAGCATTTAGGCCGGTGTCATTTAAAGAATACCAACATCTCCATAATAAAGAACTTATCTCTCTCTCTCTCTCTACCCACTTTTTTTTTTTTTCAATCAGCCAATCGGAGCTCTACGTCATTCTGACGTCACCGCCACTCCTGAGCAAGAAGCAGACGACGTGCTCTCCGCGTAGCCCTGGAGTGCAAGGTATACCGCTGCCTCCAGCAAACCGGTTACGCTGCGCTCTTCTTTAAGCGAGGCATCGTACAGAAGAGGAAGTCTGGTGGCACAGTCTGAGGAGACGTGTTTCTTCCTTGCATGGCGGGCGGTCATACAAAAACTCTCCGCAGACATGCTCGAAGAATGCATACATACGTACGAAGCAAACTGGCATGAAATATGCTTGCCACGTGTCCGCAAATGACTGTCGTATGCGCACGAACACCGCGTTTCTTTGCACGATGTATTACGAGCAGTGGTCGTCACCGACTTTAGGCTCGAAGCGAGGGAACGCTGTTCACCCCACGCGTTCCTCACACGTCGCCTTCAAGTCCACCATACCCGTAGGGGGAAACAGAGGGAGTCGTCTTCGCCCCGAGTAAAACACCAAATTATCATTTGAAGAAAAAAAAAACAATTTGTGTGCCTGAATAGGACGCGCATTCACTCTAAAAAAAGTCTGTGCGACTACTTTCACGCACACCACTCGGAGAGCCAATCAGCGCAACTTATGGAGGCATGCTCAGCGAATGACGATGCCGAAACATATGTTTAGACTAAAAAAACGCAGTCTGAGTTGTGACATTAAGCAATGTAAAACGTCACGCTTGCGTTGCTTAATGTCACAACTCAGACTGCGTCTTTTCATCGAAAGTTCTCTAAACATATGTTTCGGCATCGTCATACGCTGAGCTGCCTCCGTAAGTTGCGCTGGTTGGCTCTCCGAGTGGTGTGCGTGAAAGTATACGCACAGACGTTTTTTAGAGTGTGTCCCAGAATAAAATGTTGGTAAAAATAAAAATAGCGCCATATTTACGTCATTTCACATATTTTGAGGTAGAAGTGATTGCGAAACATGGTTTTATGTGTCAGAAATGACGTTATTCATCCTAAAATAGCAAACGTTCGAAATCGCAAAAAAAAATCGCAAAAAAAAAAAAAAAAAAAAAAAAAAAAAACGTCGAACGGGAAGACTACATCTCGGAAGAACGCGAATGCGAATTTCATAAGCTACGCACAGATGCGATATATTCTGGACGAATTATCGTCTTTGACCAAGTTCTAAGAATCGCTCAAATTAAGCAAATAACATATTAACAAAAAAAAAAAAAAGACTACAGTTGTAGGCACCTTGAGAAACGCAAATCATGGCGAGTCGCGATCATCTTACCAGCGCTGCTCAGCCAATGAAATTAGAACATTCGCCGAAAACAGCGCCCATTAACCAATCACGAAGCGACAAAACGTGAAGGTTAATACTTGGCTACGCCCTGTGTGCGTTTCTAAAGCTGCCGAGATCTGTTTTGTTACCTTTTCGATTTGCCCACACAAAAAGAGAGTGCTACACATGTGTCGGCAACTATACTTTCTCGAAATGCGTAAACAGTTCTATGTAATTCTTGCTTCCATCCTTATCGTAATTATTTTAGAATGTGTACGTGCCTCGCACATGACGTCATATATCCCTTTGAACAGCCACCATTGTTCCGCACCGTGCTCCTGCAGCCGTAGCTCGTGCAGCGTGCTGCAGAAGAAACGCAGGAGCATGGTACAGAGCAATGGCGTCTCACGTGACGTCAATGCAAGCCATCTATAAGGAGTATTCACTGGACGCCATATTTGTGGGTGCTGTCTAGAGCGCATGCTCTGAACGAGCCCCCATTAATAGGCTGCTAAGACCGGCAATCTTGAGGGTGCGGAATCCACGTTACAAAAAGAACTGTGGAAGCTCGCCATCAGCACGCGCTCAGCAGTCGTGCACACAGCTATGGCCGCCAGTGAATACTTCCCATAGTTTAACTGTATCGTGTGCCGTACTCTTTCTCCTGCATGATCTGAGAGATTCAGAGTTTACTCGTAACTTGAGCGCAAGAGTGTCTGTATTTGTGTTCTCAATATTACGTTGCCCACTTCTATCGTAGAACCCGCTAAAAAAAAACTAATATTACGTTTTAAAAAATATATATAACGTCGGAGCACGCAGTAACTGAAAAGAAGGGCCGACCTATTTTTTGTTATTATTATTTCTTTTTTGACAGGACAATTAGAACAATTATCAGATTTGGAACTCGTTTTCCCAAAACCCCCGAAGATTCAGTCCCGAACGAATATATTGGAATAACCAATCACGGGGACAAATCTTCGTAAGAAAAAACCCTGAAGGGCTAGAGGACGGAACTCTAAAGAGTTCCGTCCTATGTCAAACTATGGCGCTAACAGGAAGTAGAATCACTCGTTATCGTGTTTTGACCCCACACAGTAAAGGCCGGTTCTCACATGCTGCGAAGCGCTGATGTAGCGCTGCTCACGTGTCGTCAACCACTTATCGTCTTCCATGAGGAACAGTTTTGACAGTGCGATACAAAGCTGGTCAACGCTGCCGTCAGCACGCGCTTAGCACGAGGTCAGCGCTATGCTTGTAGCGCTCCGCTGCATGTGTGAACTAGGGTGCCTTCATGTGCGCTTTGCTTAGGGTGGTGGCATCTCGCCATTTTGTCACACACTTTTATTTTTATGTTTTGTTCAGAAGCGCGTGAAAGAGCGTGTCCCTGCACGCGCTTGTGGCGTTGACTGTGCTATGGCGACATTTTGTTTTCGTCGATTTCTTTGTATTTTTCCCGTGAGCACGTGCTGTCGGCATCTGGTACTACAAAGGGTGGCATCACCCTAAACGGAAGGACATTGAGGCACCCTAGTGTGAACAGGCCTTAAGAGTCGCAATGCGAAGATCCGCTGAGTGCAGAGCGGACATGTCATTTTTTTCTTCAAATATAGTGAAAAACAATTCAACATCAAGTATACTTGCTTGACCAAAAAATTTTTTTCTTAATTTTGAGCGTAAATTTTTCGATGGGGATCGGCCCTGCGGAAGTATAGCATAGGCCCGACGATCTCCGTCCCTATCGGCGAATGTGTTCCGGCCCGTAGCGTACTGTACCCTGCCGACAAGGGATCGGAGCGAGCCCGGAGTGCGCGAGGGCCGAGGTCCGTTCACCAGGTCCAAAGCCTGGCGCGCCCCGCCGCCCCTCGCAGGCATGCACCGCAAGTCCATCGAGGCCGCCGAGAAGCTCAAGGGGCAGGACTGCTGCGCCCTCGACCAGACGGCCACCACGAACGCGTCGGGCGGAGGCTCCACGCCCTCGGCCACCTCGCCGTCGCCCTCGGGCCCACCCTCGTCACCCCTGGCCACCCCAGCGGCGGCGGACCCGCCACCTCCGCCGCCGCCCACTCCTCCGGCGTCGACGACCACGGTCGCCGCGTCGGAGCCACCACCCCAGGGCGTCGTGTCGCTCCCAGGGGGCCAAGACCTGCGGACGCACAGCATCGCGGCGCTCAGGCTCCGCGCCCGCGAACACAGCGCGCGGCTGCAGCACTCGATCGACGCCCTGTTCGCGTGACGGTCGCACCTGTCGTCGGTCGCCACGCTTCACCTGGGCCGGCTGACTCAGGCGCCAGACGCCAATTGAATTAGCGCCCGCGGCCCACACCCCGGACTGCTCCCCCTCCCCCCCATAGGGGGTCCGGTCGGGACGACGCGAACGAGAGGAACGCGGCGGCGCGTCCCCGTGGGACGGTTACCCCGATGATTGGATTAGGGCCCGAGACAATGCGGCCAGCCGCACATACAACGCAGCGCTCTCTCTGGCTTCATCTCTCTTCCTCCCGCGGCCCCCGGACCGAAGAACAACTGACTTCTTCTTGCCCGCGGGTAAACGCTCTCGCCGAAAGTATCTTCTCTGTCGAGTGTGCGGCGGTGATGCGGCCGTCGCTGATGCGGGACCGGCGGTCGCAGGACGCGGTCCATCAAGGACTGGCGACGTCCTCCCAACCCAAATCGCGTTAGGCCTAACGATGACAGACGACCGTTGTCCAGCGGACTACGGCGGCGGTTCCCCCCCTCTACTCCGCTCGCCACTTCGGAACTTGCGGGCTCGTCTGCTTCTACCCGAAGAACTGAGATTTCGGTGTTGGTCCCACCCTCCCCTCTTGGCCAAGTGGAGATGATAAAAGAATAGAAGGAAAAAAGAGCTCCGAGAAGAACTCCGCCGTTCGAAACCCGCCCGGTCAACGGCGCTCCCGAGGGAGCCCGCATCGAACGTGTCGTCTGCGTCCCGCGGCTCGAACGAACCCCGTGCGCGTTTCTCCTCGTGCGGCGTTCCTCCTCCAATGAGCGCGGGGTCTCGACCCGTGGCTGCCTCCGTGTGCATGCGCCATAGTGGGACACCGAGGATATTTTTTTCCCTTTTGTTTGTTTTGTGAAGAAGGCGGAGGAGCGGGGCGCTGTTCTGCAACGGCGAGATCGATGAACGCCTCCCTGTTCCCGCGTCCGCCGCGAGGCGCGGCCATTTTGGACCCACGAAGGAAGGATGTGCTCTGTCGTGCGTGCTCCGGACATCCACTGCTCATGTGCGGTTTTGAGAGCAGCAACGATCTTATTTTTTTTCTTCTTTTTTTGTGTGTGTGTGTATTGTATGTACATTCTCGAAGAATGGACTGGTGGGGCGACGCGAACGGGAACACCAGCAATTATTTTAAACCGCTCGCATTTATCGTTTTCCCTTTTTTTTTTCTGTTTCTTTTAGTTTTTTTGGGGGCATTGCTGGGCGTGCAACGAGCCTCTGAGATATTCGGAAGGACAGAAACAACCACGCGGATGGACAATTTCGTGCCCCCTACTGTCTGCTCTTTGATTGTACGTTTTGTTTATATTTTCATCTGTTCGCCTTTCGTGTTATGGGGGATTACGTCTCTTCTTTATTGTATAGTATGAGCGTTAAATTTCTATTTATTATTTGAAAAAAAAAGGGAAGGCCACTCCAGTTGAAATGTATGTGACATTTGTACAAAGAATGTAAGATGCAGCGGTTCTTCAAAACTTTGCGTTGTCGAATCGGCATTTTGAGAGACAACGTGAACCCTTATCATTTTAGAGATGAGTCTGTGTGCTCCTCTTTTGCAGAATTGATCTTCAACCCCTATTCTCAGAAAGGACATCCATGCGAAAGGGACTATTTACTCGTTTATTGTCCGTGACAGGGTAAGGATTCGGTCGATGATCCATCTCCAGCGAGAACTTTCTGCCTTCGATAACTTTTCATCACACGCGCGGCCAAAGCACCACCGAAGGCCACGAGCGTGTGGTGAAGGTGGAGCATCAACTCAAGGCCCCTACGCACAGTTTCGTTTGAGAGCGTTTGAGTGCTTTAAGGCCGGTCCACACACTTGCGTTTGAGTGCGTTTGACTGCGTTGCGTCGAGAACCGAAAGCGAGTCACCGGCACAACTGTGCTTCGTATGAAGCGTGGAATCCAATGCAAGGATTCATCTTGCCACGCGATAGAAGCAGCAGGGATGTCCTGGTTTCTCGCTGTCGCAACGCAGTCAAACGCAGTCAAACGCAGTCAAACGCAGTCAAACGCAACTGTCTGAACCAAGCTTTAGACTGCATTGCGTCGAGAAACGAACGCGAGTCACTGGCACATCTGCGGTTCTTATGAAGCGTGGAATCCAATTCAAGAAATAGCTTAGTTGACACACGAAATAAGAAGCAGGGATGTCCTGGTTTCTCGCAGCCACAACGTAGTCAAACGCTCTAAAACGCAACTGTGCGTACGGGCCTTGAGGTTCTTACCCTGTAACCAACAACAGTGCACAACAACGTGCAATGACAAGCTTGCTTCGCCGCCAATTATTCGCCTAAAACGTTCTCAAACAGCTATTCTTTTTTCTTTTCTTTTTTTTGCGACACGGACATGTGTAAAGAAAGAACGGACATGGTTTTCGCGCAAAACAATGCAGAGACAACGACCAAGTTGCTACACGTTTTGTCCGGGAGTGTTTGATGACCGAAACGCGTCGAACCCTCCGAAGTGCCCCGTGACGGAGCGAGACCGCGACACAAGGCCAAGCACACAAAACGCAGTAAAAAATATATAAATATTTCGTATTATCGTTTTACGAACAAAACTGTGCATTCTTCTTCGATCTGCACAGGTTCACATCGTTTCCCACGAAAAGCTGACACCGCCTTAATGTTTGCTTCATTGTCGTCTGCTGATTCGGTTGTCGCCTGCTAATTCGGTTGTCGTCTGCTAAAACCGCATACGCATTAATTCGAGTAAGACGCGATGGATGCGGATTAACTTAGTGGCCGCATTATAAAAAATAAAAAAAAAAATTTTTTGAAAACGAACGTAAACAGTCCGAAGAGGTAAAAACTGTGTAAACGCCAGCAGCTTGAAGTGATCATCAAGAATCGGCAATTATATAACTCATAACCGGCGTCAGGCGAGAGAAATAACCGGTTATTGTGTGGCTTCACGGAGCAGATCATGACGTTTAATTCAAACAGTTTTTTTAAACGGAGCACACTTAACAGCAGTCACGCTAAACCACAGTAACCACAAGAAAAAAAAAAGGCAATACTCTTGGCCAACGTTGTGTGGCTCTGTCGCCAAAGCACTTCTGAAATAGCTGTCAGAGAGTACAGCGGTTAAGCTGTCTGAGAGTATAGCGGTTAACAGCGGTTAGGTGTGCCCGCGTAACAAAGGTACAAGTCAAGTCGACCCTCATGATGTATAAATTATTGTTTCCTCAGTATAAACTTCAACATCTCGTAAAAAAAATATAGAAGGCGGTGTCGAAGGAGAAGTAACTTTGCGTAGAGTCACAGACCGCCTAAGAGACGCAGGGTGCGGTTAAAGCCATTGAATCCTGGGAGAGTAGCGCCAAGCTCCGTGTGTGGTCGCCATTTTGGTTCATGAAATAAGCAGTGACCTCTCCATTTTTTTTTTTTTTTTTTGCGTGCAAATTTACATATTTGGTGACATCTCGCTTAATAACGACACCTCTTGAATTTTTTTGATAACGCAAATAATGCAAAGGTGCAAATGAGCTGGACAAGAATAAGGGTAGTATTTCCTGGAGAAGGGGAATACTACCGTCATCTCTAGAATAGCAAGATTTTTGTTATTCGCACACTGGCGAAACAAGTGCACATCTTCGCAACGCCACCACATGCGGCGTCATTACTCGGCGTCATTAAAATGTTGTTTTTCTTGAAATACGCAAGAACAACAACGCCATTGTAAGAGGTGTGTGCAGGTAAGCGTGGTTGATAATCTTTGGCACTGCATTCGCAGTGCCAAAGATGCTTATATTGGGCGAGGAACGCTTTGAGTACAATGGCTCTCTATTAGCGGCGAGATGTTTCAGTGGCGCCCTCGTTCGGTTACCTTTCGTGACGTCATTACCTTGTGAACAACAAGCCCGATGGTGTTTGTAATGAGCATTCTGGAAGCCTGATATGATAGCGGTCTCAAAGCAACACTGCCAACACCGTCAAAATTGAAGTTCTTACATTCCTCTTATTTCAGTCGTTGAGACATCCTTTGCTGACGTCACAGTCGGTATTCGGCCAATTATGGTGGGCCGACCACAGCGACATTTTCGATCGCTCACGTCGCCAATAGGGAGTATTCACTGGCGGCAATATCTGTGTGCGTGGTTGCTGAGCGCGTGCTGACGGCGAGCTTCCACAGCTCTTTTGCAACGTGCATTCCGAACCATCAAGGTTGCCGGTCCTAGCTGGCTATTAATGTGAGTTGTGAAAGTCCTAACAGGCTATTAATGTGCCATGAAAACTGAGACCAATCAGTAAATCCTTTTGTGAAGTTTGGTCGTCAGTATGTCAGTATCTATTTGCGTACGCGGATAGCAGGTATACGGAATGCTATGGCGCTACCTTCCCCACGATCCAGTGACTTTAGGTTCAAATAAGGTACCGTCATGTGCGCCTTCTGTGGTCTGTCATTCTCACGCTATCTTCCTTCCTGATTTATTTTTATTCTTCGGCGTTCTTATTTTTTGATGTCGCAATCTTAGTGGTTTGGAAACAATGCAGTGCGCAAGATTGTCTGCTTCTTGCACAGGGGTTGTGATGATCTCAAAACGTCATTGCCTGATTAAAAAAAAAAAATAGTGGGTAGACTTTGAGGCATATCTAGCAATGAGGTCTACCCACTATCCTTTCCATCGAAGCCAATCAGCGCTCGGTGTCGTTCTGACGTCACCGCTCCTCCTGCACAAAAAGCAGACGACTTGCTGTCCGCCATGCCCCGTGTTTCTTAAGCCGTCCGTGACTATAGTGTTCATTAATGCATTGTAAGAAATCTGGAACGCCTACTTTCTTGCAGAGCACTTGGAAGAGCCAATCGCTGCAATATAGGGGTAAGGAGCTTGGCCAATGACAAGGCTGAAAATATCTTTAGAACTAAAAGAACTGTCTGCGCTGTGGCACCGAGCATGATGAAACCCCATAGAGGGATATGGCTGAACTCCACAGCGCCGAATTTTTTTTTTTTTTGCATCTATCGTAATATTTTGGGAGATGCCCCACC